CTTTGGATCCTCTTTAATGTTACTCACTGAATTACAGTAGCGCTGTCCTTACATAACCACAACAAACATCACAACGAAAAAAATTAATCAATGAAAATTCGCTTTTGAAGTGGTTTCTTTATAAGCAACAAAGGCGTCAGAAAGAAAAGTGAATGTGGGGAATGTCATTACACTTGCATTAAAGAGAGAGAGAATTGTATATATCGGAGCTTAAAAGGGAGCTTTTCTGCCATTTTGCTCTGGGTGAGACTGCTGCAGGATCTCCGTCACATGGGACTTCATTAATACTCCAGCGTGACTCCTACTTCGCCCGAGGCTCTGAGTGCAACACCTCCCTGTGCTTCTGACAATGAGCTGCCCTGTCGAACCCGTGCAAATTCGGATCAGACCATTCGGTGACCCACTGGGGGGTGTCAAGGGACGATGCCTCTAGCTGTGATGTGACTGTGCCTTCGCTCTAAATGACGAATGTCTAACATTCGTCCCTTGACCCCCCCCCCCAGTGGGTCACCGAATGGTTTGATCCGAATTTGCACGAGTACCTTTTTTCTTTTACTGTGACTAACCTTTCAGTACCACTTATCGGTAAATGAAAATTGCGTGAAACCAACAGTGGGAGGGAGGATTGTCAAGGAATATCAGTTACGAGTTCAGCACATTTCTGATTGGTTACTTTACTAGGCAGTGATTGACAGTGCAGTGTAACCACACCCACTGAAATGAAGACTAAACTCACGAGCTTCCATAAATCGTGGCGTTTTTCTGCCATCTGCGGGCTAAGGTCAAAGCGGGCCACCCTTATTAAAGATTCAGACACGACGCCCACGTTAGTTCAGGCCAGGCAGGAAGCTGTCCCCGGTGGCCAAGATAAAACCACACATTAGGGACATTTTGAGCACATTGAGTTTTATGTAGTCAATTATACTGTATATTGTTATCCTATAAAACTGGTTCACATTTCAGAATATTAATGTGATGTACAACAATATGAATAGTGCTGTGATTTTTAAAACAGGAATTGTTAATGGCATTTAAATCCAACCATCCTGAACGACTTATCCCGCTAACTCTGCTAATACGCTATGATGCAGTATGGAGCAACATCGCCCTCTGCTGGCTGAGAATGTCGTAGGCGGAAGAGTGTAAAAGATCTTAGTCATGCTCCAAACCTCATTAGCTTCCCAAAGACGTGTGAGAATCCGCAATAAACGCCCTTTCAAGCAGTTACAGTTACATAAATGTCTGAAAAATAAAAAGCCAAGTTTAAACAAAAACGGCTAGTCATACGCTGATTAAAAAAAATCAGCATAAAATCAAAATATAGAAGTTCTGATATTGAATGAAGGCTGATTTCTAAAGACACACAATCCCCAAGGACCTCACTGGCATGCACAGAAAAATAGAGACCCCCCCCCCCCAGTCATAATGTAAATCATAATCTAGACTGCTGCTATAGGCAATATGTATGGTATTTTATCTTTGAACTTAACCAAGCAAAGTCAATGTTAAAACTATGTTGCAATACACATACACTACCCATGCAATAACAAACATCTCAGAATATTTGGGACCTTTCAAACACTGGCGATTCTGTCAGACTCACGGGACTGAATCTACCAAATGGGGTTGACAGTAACTGTCAGCTTCGAGGTCTGACGGGGGGGGGTGAGTTCAACAACAGCACGAGCCTTGAAAGAAACTGCCAGCCACCTGGTCACGTTTTCACACAGAGAGACACCCCCCCCCCCCCCCGCACACACACACACACACACACCAGAATTAATAATTAATTATCAATAAATTAACCGGCAGCGGAACAAAAGTCATTTATCTGGACCCTTAGCCGTTTCTCAGGAGGATGCCCTTTCAGGAGGAAAAACTTAAATGATTTATTATCCATTATTTATAATAAAATAGCTACTTCATCATTCACAGGTTGAAGTTGGGCAGAAAAACATCCACATGAACACAGAAGAAATGGATTCTTGGGTTGAACATCAGAGCAGGCAGTAATAGCATGAGCATGTAGCCTCAGTCTCCCAGCCCTATTGCCCCCAGCCAACCCCCCAGCCACCCCTACAGGGGCAATAACAGCCTCTATCCCTTCCTCAAATGACATTTTGTAAGGTCTCTCTCCCACACCATGCTGCAGTCAAATTAAAAGTGACAGGTAATTATTACCACTTAATTTCAGAAGAATGGGTGATATTGCCTTGACTTCCGGGATCTAGTTATATGTCTGCTGTCTTGTTGCACAACCAGCATGATGGACACCAGGAATTGCCACCAGCAATAGGTTAAATTGGGTTCAATGGAAATGGTTCCCATCAGCTTTTAAAAGGCCATTTATATGATCAACGGCATTTAACTGGGGTGACTGGTGCCTATCTGTTCATGTAAAGACCCCGGGGGTGTGATGGAGAGCCGAGGAGAGACGGTAACTGGGGGCCTGCGGCAGCCCAAGGGCCCGAGCTGCCATCCGTCCTGGGGGATTCAAGTCAGTGTCACTGCCTCAGTAAGAAGAAAGACAGCCGTGGATAATTTAAACCGTTGCCTGTCACGGAGATACCCCCCCGCTGGCCCTCACGTGGGGGCTGATGACACGTCCTGGGGAGTACCGCGCTCTGGCAACAAGGGGTAAACTCACACCTGCATTGTCCATCTAACATACCAGGTATTTTCCCAGTGGGCCGATGGGTTTTTGGGTCAACAAAATCAAACCCCCCCCCCCCCAAAGTCCAGAGCTATTTTTTAGTCCCAGTGCAGCCCTGGTTACACTACAGAAGGACAGGAAAAACAGATTCACAGAAAGTTTTGCTGAAGGGCATCAGTAAGACTTCCAGGCTGAATCGGAGCTAATTAAGGGCCCCTGAACCACACAGAGCATCTAGATAGAAAATACACCAAAAGCTTTAAAATTAGGTTTATTACAAAACCTGCTTGAGAGTCCTTCTGTGAATCCCCTCTCCTTCCATAAACATTTGAAGAGGGTCTCTAGTTTAAACCAAACAGAGGTCAGAAACTGATTAGCAGTGGTGTAGACGGGGGCGGGACCACAGGGGCATTAGCCCCAGCTGGAAGCTGATTGGCCCCAGGACTGCACCATCCCCTGTCAGTCACCAGTTCAAAATACATCATTGGCTAATAATGAGGTTGGTCCCTCTTATGTACACCCACTTAAAAAAGAATCCTATAATCACCCCTGCTGATTGGCTGTGGTCCAACACAAAGCTCTGTTAACCAATCGATCCAGTGGTGCCTTTATTTATTGGACGTTACCACCACAAGGCGCTCTATATGCATGCATGTGTGCTGGGCAGGGCATGTGCTGCGATACCACTGGCATTAAAACAACGCAGCATTACTTAAATAGTGCTGTGATTTTCCATCCAAGTTTATGTCATGGTGGGGGTTGTTCATTTGCATTTAGGTACATGAAAGCATCATTCCGGGCGATTTGAGGACAAATTTCTTCATATGTATGCTAAACGCAAAAGCCTTCGCAGGAGCTTTCAGAAATCGTCTCTTAGTTAATGCCTTTGTTCTATCTTGCAGCTCTGTGCGTCCTGCATATTAAAATGTTTTGAAAATCCCTGAACTAAAACATCCTTTATAGTACCACCAGCGTCCTCTTGAGAAATGAGATTAGAAAATACAGGTGAAAAGTCCCAAATGAGCAGAGACTCTCACTCGTCCCACCTACTTCCGTTTGATGTTTTAAATTAAACGATCTGTATTTTTTTTTTCCGTTGCACACTTGAATTAATCCTAAGACACTCAGCTACACCAACAGGTACAGAATGGCAATTCACAGCCTGCATACGAAGGATGGATCAGTATGGCCGATGGTTTCGGGGATTAGCTGAGCGTTGGAGAGACCACTGAAGACCTATGTTTCAAGATGTGGGTTCTTTTGGGAACATTACAACTACAGTTTAAAAACCCAGCTGCAGGTCCAACATCATCATCTCAACTGGAAACGTGAGATGGTCTTAGGACCCAGGAGATGCTAGGATATTAGTACTCACTGCTGTCATTTTGCCATGTAGTTACTATAAAAAGGGCTTACATATTAAGTCAATGTTGGCTGTGTTACTGCAAGTCCTGAGCCCTTTTTCATGGGCACAGCATGACATTTGCGCCCCAGTCTCATGTTACCCAGCAACGACAATTCCCAGCAGGGCTTCTGACAGCTGCCATCCTAGATAACAACACAGCATTACTAGACTGGACACTTAATTTACAGTTAAAGAACACGGCTGACCAAAATGACTGGCACATCTGTCTTCATAAAACCAAGAAATACCTACGCGAGACCAACAGAACAGGAGATCTGCCAAGATGAGTAGCAGCTATTTACAAAGCTAGTTCACATCAGAGGAGACTAAGTAGGACATTCAGTCTGAATGATGCTCAAACGCAATTCAAAAGTAGCTTTTTTGTTCTCTGTAGATTCATTGAATCTAATTAAATCTTAACAATCAGGTGTGATTGAATTCAGTTGCATCTTGAACAACCCTTCCAGGCAGGCTGTCTGGATAAAAAGATTTTTAAAAATAAATGAAGTCATTCAATGGCCTTCAGGAGCACAAAGCAATGGAACCATCTACTCACACCAGCTATGATGGGGTCATTCTGAAAGGCCCACAACCACCTTTTTTAACCCATTAATTAAAGGCTTGCATTATGTCTTCCCATTGATCCAGTATTTATCAAGCATAGTGCAGTCTGTCTGGCCTTCACGGCTACCTAAGCAGCATCCATTCATGGACAAACTCTGAAAACATCTCATCTAATTTAACGGTCTGAAAGAGAAAGTCTATGAGAGGTCATGGTTTAGACGGTCAGGTTATCACAAACATCAACAGTCTACTAAAGTTTTCTGCAGTGGACCACAAACTCGTTGGTAAGAGAAGAATTAACTCAAATCCTGTGACATTCAGCGAGAATTGTCTTCCCCTCACACATCCAGATGGTATGATTCAGTCAGACAAAGAACAGGCTTTTAACACCTTTGTAATGAGGTAAAAACAGTCATTACATTTGTGTATTAGGAGCACAGACGGCTTCTATAAACGGAATCTTTAATTAAGAGAGCCATTGTCTGAATCGTTTAGTTACATTTGCACCAAAAAAAAAAAATGCAGAAAATATGTCATATCACTTTTGAAGACACTTTTGTTCACATTCCAGGTGCCAGACGCTGAAAACAATTTTATTTCAAAATGGAGAGATGAAATAGGCCTCCTATCAGACAGGCAGCTCCAGGAAACACATGTAGAATTTCAACATGAAGCTTTGGTCCGCTGGCACAACTTTAATGATAAAGAACGTCGGTACAGAGCAGATCAAACCTAGAGGCAATGAGACAGTCTGGGGCCACTGCTCATGCACTGTCAGGACTCACATACGATGGAGCACTTTTACTATCTGGATGCATATAAAATTCAGCTGGCTATTAAAATTACTGGATTTAATGTAAAAGATAAAAAAGTATTTCTTTCACAATGCCGAGAATTGCAGCCCTTGACTTGAAGTTCATACAGCAGTTTCTTATTCATTGAAGAAGAAGAAGAAGAAGAAGAAGAAGAAGAAAAAAGATTGGTTCCAAAACACAGGAAGAGGACAGGAGAGGGAAGAGAATAGGATGGTTAAGTATTTGTGCATTGATGTTCCCCCCCCGCTCTCCCCCATCTCATGCTACAAACACTGAAGGACTTCTTTCATATCCCTTGAACAAAGATCTTTAAAGGGAAAATTCCCCATTCCTCGGGTCTTTGTGCATTTCCATTCACACATTTATCTGTCCATTCTACTGTGCATAGGGCCTGGTAGCTGTCTCAGGAACCACAGGCAACAAGGCAGGGGTCCATCCTGGATGGGGTGCCATGACGGGGGGGGGGCATCTCTCACACACACACACACACACACACACACACACACAACCTCACACAGTGCAGAGGCAGGATTCAAAGCCACGTCATTGGAGGTGAAGTAACATTTTTACAAATGCTTTTTAACACCCATGTTAACTGGGGGTTTTCAGGGTACAATCTAAAATTAATTTTTAATTTTGCACACCTCCCTTTTCGGAGGAATACATTTGGCACCGTTTTAGCTCATAACACCGCTGGTTACCTTTCAGCTAGCATCCCGAGCCCCCCCTCCCCCCAGCAGAAAGCAGTCTGACAACTCAGGAGAAGCGTCTGTTTTATAGAGAGGAAAGCTACAGCACACAGTAACGGGGACGGGTCACAGCCAGCATCCTTCATCCAGATGGGTCACATGACCAGCTTTCACCTTGAATACGGCAGAATTCATCTCCCAGTCGCTGCCCAGCTAAGTCCTGCCAGGGGCGCCGGGGGAGAGGGGGCCATATTCATCTCCATCTGGCACCAGCCCTCAGGCTCTGTGCTACAACTCAGCCAGGAAACAAGGGCCACTTATGAGCAAAAATGGGGGCCGGGGGGGGGGGCGGGGGGAGGGGAAGGATCTGTAACTTCTGGAGACAAGTAACCCACCTTCCATAAAGTACATCCTACACACTTAGGAGACAAAAGATAACTCACGCATTTATGAGTCAAGCCAGCAGTTGTACTCGCAGATGACAGCGTGCCATGGCTACAGAACACACTGCCCCCTACAGGGCTCCAGGAAAAAGCACTGTCACCTTGAACCACTTCCCACCAGACCACTGCCACAGGCCGACCACAGGGCTGCGCTATGGTCACATTCGGCACTGGTTTCTGGTTAAAATCTGCAGTGCAAATCCAAAAACTAGAAGACTGTGCACCAAATGAGCAAAAATGTGTTTCTCAAAACAGAAATATTACAGAAAAAAAAAACCAAAAACGACACTATCACGAATTACATAATCGACATAATAGCATCATGGTATGTCACTGCAATACCCTCCAGTTCCAAATCTCCAGGTTTTACACTTAAAACAAACACACCATGACATGTCAGGGGCCCCAAGCTAGCCTGCTGTGAGGGACATTTAGAAGGTCCTCCAAAACTGGACAATTCAGTCCAGCCACATGGCTGAAACAGCAACGTCACGTGCAGAGATACTTGCATATCAATGCTGCCCCCTTAAACCCACCTGAACTCGCGATGCTTCGACTCCAGGCTGGACCTCCCTCCCTCGCCCTGTGAACACTGACATTTCCATTCTTAAAACTATAAAAAAAATACAATGCCAATCCCTCCCCCCCCCCCCAACTGTGTTGACGGAGCGTGTTTGTCTTGCCTCAGAGCATATAGCGCAATTGCAGGAAAAACATTTGAACAATCACGCTGTGAGGCTCCTTGTAGTGAACCAGAGGGAGAGTCTTTGTTAGTTTTAAGAGCATCGGGTAAAGTAAACGTGAAAAAGGCCTTTCAGTCCCGGCAAACGTACAAGTGATTCCAAGCCTCTGAAATTTTGTTTAAAAAAAAGGGGGAAAGTGTACAGTCTGTTTTTTCTTTTTTTACAGTGTGTGCTGGGCGTAGCGGTCCGAGAGAAGCCCGGAGCTCACACCACGTACTGGTACGCCTCAGCCTTGCCGTAGTCGGGCGTAGCAAGCGGGTTGAGCCAGGCTATGGAGAAGGGGTGACCGAACACCACCCGCATATTCATCCACTTGGTCTTCTTACCCCACCTCCTCTCCTCCTTTTTCAGCTGCTCTATGCCCTGGAAATGAGAAAGGGGCCAGATGTAACATTGGCAGGACTCGAACCCCTAGTCCAGCGAGGATCAGGCTGTATGTAACCAGGATCTGACACATCTGTACATTTCTGGATACTTGGGGATCTGCACTCATTATGTCAGTTTTTGGGAGGGACTGTGCCAAGCACAATAGATTAAACATTTATCTTCTAACGTTTTTAGCACATAATTACTAGTGCATAAATAACGTGTCATTTTTTTTATTTTAAATAGAGCAAAAAACCAGCACATGATGCAGGGCTTGGCCTAAATCAGGACTGAAGATCATGACATCAGTGGTTTGAAAGCCACACCCACCCTTAATAAGCCCCACCCACTGACTCCAGCCTTCTTATAGGCTGTTCCAGCAAGATACAGCATCACTCCTTGAGATCTTGTATATGCTGATAGGTTTAACACGCACTGCCAAAAGTGACCGTCATTATCAAACAAGAGACCCCAATTAAGGGCAGCTAACGAGGTCCTTGAAAACCCTTCCCATGTCTGGAGGTGATTATGCCTGTTAAGGACGAACCAAGTGCCCTGCACAGACTACTACAGTATGTGGTTTTTCTACCCCTGAAATCTCGAGAGCTAATCTCTAGATTAGAAAACAAATGCCTTACTCAAGCAGAGGCCTGCTTAGCGGGATAACTTGCTGGATTTAAGGTAGTCTGGACTAAATGGATTTTATCACTAACATTTAGCCCAGACTACCTTAAATTTGACAAGTTATACCGCTAAGCAAGAAATCCTGCTTCATGATACAGGTCCCAGAGGAGGTATCACGAAGCTCATTTCCAACAGTATACAAACCTGACGACCACTTTATTACTTTAATAACAGGCTTTCCAAACACAAGAATTAAAAGGAATTAAAACTAATTCTACGATAAAAGACTAAAGATAATTAGACAATCCTGAATCACTGGGAACAATTCATTTTCTGTCTGTATAGTCCTCCCCCCTGCACAGCTGCTCCTAAGCTTTTGAAGATTAAACAGCATAATATCAATTTATCAGCATGATTTACTAGCTGTGTTTCTTTAATGTGCATAAAAGAAATTAGAAGTACCAGTCAATTTAAAATAAGCTCACAAACTATATTTCAAGTCAACTGCAACCTAAAACCTAAATCGACTGACCCGACACCATTTAATATTTACACAACTGGGATAACTGTTCACCACTGCAGTGAGAAGACTTAACAGTCACCAAGAGAAACTTCTAGAAATGTGGAGACTTGGAGAGATTCCACTAAAGCCGGTAACTTTGTCCTCCAGATTTCTATGCCGAGGATGGGGGCCAGGAGGGACCTATGACCTTTCCAGCTATGTGACCTGCATTTGCTGTGCCAGAAGATGGTCTTCTCAGGCCTTGGAGGGCAGAGCCTCATCCATCACATCCTCAAACAGGAACCCCAGGAGAACCAGCTGCTTATTACCCGCCTTAGAGCAAAGTCTAAAGCTGATAAGTTACATCAGACCCCTAAACAACACAGAGGTTAAAATGCAGGTTGGGAAAGATGGATGACAAAAATAAAAAAGTAATAAGTCTCTTTCAGCCAGGCAGGCAATTTCTGCCGTCCTGGAGCAAATTCGGTGCACAAATGCCCCCCCCCCCACAGAGTAACAGGGCAGAATCACTATTTTTGAGTGTTGGTCCCAATATTTCACTCCTCGATTACCTGTTCATTCAGGACAAAGAGCCTGGATTCTCACAAATTGTGCTGTGGACTGGAAGGTCAGGAATTTAGGTGCTAGAACTGGAAGTGGGGGGGCGGGGGGGAGGGGGGGGCAATCAGCTAACCACTCACCGTTTCGTCGGAACAGATAGAATGCACTTGGGTGCCAAACATCACGGATGTAAAAATTAGGAAAAGCAGCCCCTCGAAAGACAAAAGGATGAGCAGGATGACGGTCACAGGTGGCGAGAAGGTACTGCACTCTGAGGAGTAAAAAGACAGTGATGAACACTAGAGGGCACCAGAGAGGCACGGTCATTCACGCTACACAACACCAGAGACACAGCATGGCAGCCACCTAGTGGGCAGTTACTGTCACGGTGAAAGAGGATTTTGGGACTTACTGGTCCAGTCTGCTTCAAAGCAGAAAAGAAAGTGGAAGGCCACCATGATCAAGGCATGCAGGGATATCAGGGCAATGTACATCTGTAATAGAGAGAGGCTCCAGTTTCAATGCAGCTCGGTACAGGGACAGCCAATGTCCTGGTAAAAAAAGTTGGGTAATTCAGATCCAGAGAGTAAAAGTCCAGACCGGGATTTTGTTTCAACCAACCTTTGAGTACTCTGGGACTGTGTGTCTTTATGCTCAACTGGTCGGTTGAAACAAAATCCTGGTCTGGACTTTTACTCTCTGGATCTGAATTACCCCACTCTGGTCCTGTGTCACTGACAGTCACTGGCTGTCATACTCTTCAACACATGAACCGTAATAACTATTTATTTCCCATACAGATAAACTGTTTAACTGTTAGCATGGACTTTCAGCATGAAACAATTTCTACCAGGATAATGAAAGTACTCTGACCTCGATAATCTCTGGCTGTAAGAAGTTAATGAAAAAAAATTTTATATTAGCATTAAAGCGTGACACACATGTGCAAAGGGGCGGGCACAAGTGTGCAAAGGGGCAGGCACAAGTGTGCAAAGGGGCGGGCACACGTGTGCAAAGGGGCGGGCACACGTGTGCAAAGGGGCGGGCACACGTGTGCAAAGGGGCGGGCACAAGTGTGCAAAGGGGCGGGCACAAGTGTGCAAAGGGGCGGGCACAAGTGTGCAAAGGGGCGCTCACCGTGAACAGCACAAAGTACTTCTGATTGTTCTCGCCCACGCAGTTGTTGACCCAGGGGCAGTGGTGATCCATCTTGCGTATGCATCGCTTGCAGATGCTGCCGCGGAAACGCAAAGGACACGTGTGTCAATCTGGCACCCCCTGTGCTCAGTACGAGGACGATCACGAGAACCGTACAGGCAGGTTAACTACGGAGAGAGAAGCCTGCTCACAAACAAACAGAGTGGGATCAGAGCGTGTGGTGGGTGTGTCACACGTGTAGACACCTTCACCTTGTCAAGACTGGGGAGCAATGAGAGAGAGAGAAGCCCCAGATACAATCCCATCCCATCATTAAATTTGTCTCAGATCGTGAGGGGGCGGGGCACACCCGCACTGGCCTCGGGGGGTGAGGGGGTGGGGCATACCTGCAGTGATGTGCACGGTCTGGCTTGATACTGCAGCATTTGGGACACTTGTAGACCACCTGACCCGGTTTCAGCTGCAGGCTCTCAATAAACTCCTTGGTGGCATTCCCCTTCGGCACGGCGCCCTGCAGTACGACACGAACACAGGGGGCGCCATCACAGGAGGCCCCCGGGTAGCAGGCGGATGACAGCGAAGGCCTGGTTCAAACTTCCTGGGCATGCCATAATAACAGACTGTCCGCAGTCCTGAACCAGGCCAGGGGTGGCGCTGTAGAGCAAATCTGCTCTTACGTCATGTTTACAATGTGTGGTATATTAAAATTAAGAATTTTACAGTACACAAAGCATGGTTATTACCACTGATGAAAACATTTTCATAAACAAATAAAATATGAAAATAAACCTAACTATGAAATATGAAAATAAACCTATAAATATTGCCTCAAAAACCAACAAATAAAATGGTCAAATACTCATTCTTCTTAAAATCTATTTATCAAAAGTAAGGAATTATTTATGTTGGGGTCCCTTTTATGCAAAAGAACCACAGGAACAACCAATGGTTTTAGAGGAGCTACTTTCAACTTTTGATCTTTCCCTAGAAATAGATTAGATTAGATTAGATAGGACTTCATTGATCTCACAGTGGGGAAATTTGTGTGTTACCACAGCTCTAGATAATAAAAATAGTAAATCTTAAACTGAGACTAAAACATTTAAAGAGATATGCACCTTTAAAATAAAAACTAAAAAAAGATTGGAAAGATTGGCCAGCCGTCTCAAATATTTTCCATTTGTGACTAATCTTTCTCACTGTAGAATGATGGACTTCCGATTGTTTGGAAATGGCTATATAACCCCTCCCAGATTGATTGCTTCTCTAAGATTATTGCTGATGTCGTTCCTCCTTGTCATTGTGTTAACACACACCGGAATGCTCCAGACCAGCAACCTGGCAAAACCACTGCTTTTATAGAGCTGGTCACACTTGCAGATAATCAGTTAATCAAGAGCATATGACCAGCAGAACCTGACCCTCTTAATTCCTACAGAAGCAGTACTTTAAGGTGCATTTAATTTTTCCACACACTGCTTTTGGCTTAGTTTTTTGTTAAATTAACAGTGACAAGGTGTAATATGTCATATGTTGATGTTCATCCGAGGTTGTATTCACCTAATTTTAAAACCTGCTAAGGGCCAAATGGTTTTTATTACGTCCTGGTACATAAAACCTTCAAACGGAGAGGTGCACTTTCTTTCTCACATGACTGTACATCACCACAGCCGTGTGCAGGATGGCATGTCCACGTGAAGTATGAGCCCGTTAAATGCCAGCTGAAGCCATGCCCTATTCATGTCCTGGAGGATATATTCCAGCACAAACTGAAGAATGATCCCTTATTGTACCCGACTGTACATTAAACCTCAGGCTATAAAGCAGAACAATATCTACCTGATCAATTTCAACCCCACTGTGGCTACTATCAGTTACATTCTGCTAGTTAATAATTAATTGTCTGATTGTTAGTATCTCTTGCCATTCGCCTCACCCGGCTGCAGTGACTGATTGGTTAAACACAGGCGTGAGTCACTCTGCAAAGTACTACAAGGACTCTGAGTGTCTGTACTAAGTGACGTTAGAAACACTCACAATCCCTGTGCTTTCAATGTCACCCCTGCGTTTTTGCGTTGGTTTCCTCCAGATACTCAGATAACAACCCCCCCCCCAAAAGACTAGCGGACTGGCAAACTCCTCGAAATTCCTTCAGCCGTGTGTAAATGATGGGGAGTATTTGTAGCAGCGCTCAGCTACAGGGCACAATGCAGTCCAAAGGGCACCTGGCGTTACAGCCTGTGTTTTCGAAAGAGGGAGTCCAAATCACTATGAGCATCAGCAAAGTACAAACGCGACAGACTCACCGGGTCGGTGCACATGGCCCTAAAGTGGGAGGCCAGTGACAGGAACGCCAGGCTGTTGAAGAGGGCACCATTGAGCAGGCTGTAGGCCAGGTTCCTGGAGGGTAGCAGCATGACGAAGAGCACCACGAATTCGGCATAGAAGACCAGCATCCAGGTGATGACGGCACAGACGATGCCGCAGCCGTCGCGGATGAACCACATGGCATGGGAGGAGGCGCGTGGCGGGGGCGGGGCACACTGCTCGGGGTGCAGGTAGCCAGCCTGACGCTCGATATCCCGGCAGCGGTGCGCTGGGCTGCCCATATTACCACAGGCTGCCCCTCGGCATGCTGGGAAAGTAGTGGGCGAAGGAGCAGAGAGAGAGTGAGCGCTCATTAGACATAGACTGATTCACCTCCAAGTACGCCTACACAGGCAATGTTTACCACCACTTAAGCCATGCAAGTGTGGGGGCCCCCTGAGATATGGGGCCACAAAGTCACTACACTATGGGCGGCCACCCGCCTGTATACCAACCACAGCTGACACCAACAAGGCCCTCACACACAACCCTCACCTCGGTCTCCTCACACCGGGCTGATCTGCATTACCAGCTTAATGGTTCTGGCCCTTAAAGTAGGAGCAGTAAAATTTATGATATATCTGGTACGCAGTGCTTTTAGACTAATTGCTGAAAAGCAAAAACAAAAACTAATTACAGCCAGTGTTTAATTTTACCCTTTGAATGGACTTTCTAAGATTTTACCATAATATATAGGCCTTTGGATAACCACAAAAAGCACAAGGTTGGGACACACCCTGGACGGGATATCAGCCCATCACAGAACGCTATTTACTATTATTATTATTATTATTATTATTATCAATAGATATTTTATAATCATTCACAATCCAGTTTGCCGGTTTTAATCCCAAATGGGATTCCTGTCAGAAATGGAATCGGTTCAGTAAATATATAGTCTTAAGTCGAGGTACATCCGATCGCATTTACGTCCGAGGTCCCTAGTAAATAATATAAACTGATCAAGAGACGACTGAAAGTGGACGTAGGATGACGTCAGCAGGTGTATTGCTTAGTGTTAGAATGGGCAGCACTGCCAGCCGTATAATGACCCTCTGTCCATATCTAACTTGTAATACATTGTGCATACAGTATTGTATATGTGAAGGACAGCTATAAAATTGAGATACACGCAAACTGACTTGTGAACAGCGGTCCCGGTCCCAAATGCCAACGCAGGGCTGTGATCAGGGGACAGTGTGGTGTCACCCTTAGGCAACTTAGCAAGGGACAGGACTGGTTGATCCTGCTTTCACAATTATTCGTTGCTTTGGATAAAAGCGTCTGCTAAAAAAAGAAATATAATGTTTATGTTAGATGAAATAAAGTTAACTTTAAAAGTCTTTTGTACAAAAACTAGGAATAAATCGACTACCTACATAAAATGGTAACAGAAAGCTATTCAACAAATACATGTACCGAATTAGATGTGCTAAAGTATAAAATTGGGTTAAAACGGAACTAGGAACAGTCAAACACCCTGAACAAGTAGGATATTGAGGAATTCTGGGTAAGCGTGGTTGCTGCGAATACTTTCCTAACCTTTAATCTTATGACAAAGGTGGACTGTACCTGATCTGGTTCATAATCTGTTGATCAAAACGCGTTTTTGCCGAGAGCTCACAGGCTACACCCAACACCCCCTCGGCCGCGCCCAAGCGGAGTTTCGGGGCCGTGAGGATGAGGAGGGGTTCACGTAATAAGCGGTGCGAGTGGCGCAGCACGTCCTACGCATGCGCAATTCGCTCTTCCTAACTTCGGACAAATTCTTATTCGAAAAGGCACGTTTTATTTATGACAGCCAACATTACCTTTCTCATTTTTAGTTTTGTTAGGTTTCATTCTCAAATACTGAGGACAATGACCAGTGTAGTAAACAAGTAAATGCAGAATGCTGTAATAGGTATGTTACCACCAAGATCCGCGTTTGCGGTTCACTCCCAGGCCGAAGCATAGAGTAGTGAGACGGGAGGTTAGACTGGTATCTCTACATTCGTGGCCGTAGATGGGCACATTGCGATTTTCAGCTTCCATCCAGCCTCGATCACGATCCCTATCGGGGCTACTCATGCACTCCATCTCAAGATGCCCCCCGCCCTGCCTGACAGCGTAGCGACAGACCTAAACCGATCAGTTACCGTATAAAAAATAAATGAAGATTGACGTGGTGAGTTACATTCTGTAAATCACTGCGCGCAGAAACTTCCAGGCGTAAGAACCAGCAGCAACCCTGATTAAAAGCAAGCCGTCCAAAATAAGATCATGTAATGCACACAGTATTTCAAAGACCCATGTGTGAACCGAAACATTGGGCAACTGCAGGTTTGTAACCAATACCAAGCGGACGTTTTAAATTACACTGGTTTCGTTTTAACACCATTCAAATGCTTGCGATGTCTGTGTTGTATCCTTTTGGTAATACAAGCTGGTAATGCCTGCTGGATCTACGCTTCATATTTCAAGTACTGTAGGGCTGACATCATATAAACTTTGCAAACAATGAGTTGTAACCAACTCGATAACACCAATAAGTAAGCAAGCATTTTCAAAGACACTGAATAAGGTACGAAAGCTTGTCACCCGGGGCTGGATATCACTGCAGGTACTTTCCAGTAAAATTACAGTACTAGGAGAGAAGTTGAATTGCATACATTAGTTTTTCGACATACCTTTTCCCCCTATGGTGGGTCGTGCAAGGGAAATCCCCCCTCTGATCGCCTATCGGCGGCACATTAACCAGGCTGCTCCGCCACCAGCAGCCGTTCTATGTCGATGGCGATCCACGCTGCTTGGAAAAGCCGCTAGATGAAGAGTAGTGAAAATGCCGCAGATCTGAGCGGAGTGTTGCGCGGGATTAACGGGCGCTGCGCACCGCTTCCGACGCGGCTGTCAGACACCCCGGCCAGGCTCCTGGGCGGTCGGATGGAGAAGCAGGAAGTCTCCCCTATTCCTGTACTTCCATACACAGCACTTCCTGCGCGCTGCCGCTCCCAGCTCCTCAGCAACTTCCTCGATTTTATTTTCTTTTTCTTTGTCTCTCAGGTGTCCTCGAAAACTACAGTATTAAGTTACAAGAGGCGCACTGGCCAATCACCATATAGGCTCTACCTAGTTTAGGCTACTAATTAGTCATCCAACTGGTAGTTAGATAGTAAAGATGGGACGATAAATTTCAGTCTGCCCCGGTACTTCAGGAATTAATCACATGCAGAAATGCTTAATAAACTGTTGTATATGCCTCCGCTTTCATTAATATCTCATTACTTTTTTTTTTTTTTTTTTACTAAATTGTTAACATCATTGCGGTATTACAGCGACTGTTAATAGGCCTGTGTGCGATCATACGCCACTAAATTCACACCACCAGCTTCTCGTGTAATATAACATGCGCACACACTGACAATAAAATTTAAACAATGTGGACTGGAAATGGGGAAAATTCCTGTAGCCGAATCCATAATTTTTCATGGGAACTAATTCAGTAGCTTTAAACACACACAACCCTGAGGAGAAGAATCGCGCTCACAATCCAATATGTGTAAGACAGGATCCCTTAAAGATAAAAAAGTGAAACTCCTTGGTAATCTCTTCACGAGAACTGTCCTGCGGTGAACTTCGGGAAAGTAGATCGCTGACATTATAGCACAAAACGTGTGAACGCCTGTCATTTTATGTTTTTACCAAATACCACCAGGGGGCGCGGTAACCATATTTATTGCTACCACACCTTTAAAAAACGCGTCAGGCATTAAGTTTCTAAAATGCACAAAATAATGGCAGTCTGCGTGAATATAAAATCGCATATAACCCTTTTTATACTTCCGGTAAATGAACGGAGAGCCTTCAGCCCTCTTTTATAGACCTGCACTGCCTAGTTTCAATGTGACCACAGGTGAATATTCCTGTTCAATGAACACGTTACACAATTTACGATATTTTTCTGATCTGTTTGATGCTCCATTTTCCACGAACCAGCAAAATGCAATTAGTTCTAGTGGCGGGGAAATCTACACATCAGAAACCAAATACCGAAAAGTGCTCATTTTATTACATAAGAAAACAGAATCGGTTTTATTTGCTTGCTGCTGATACCACCGTAAATATGAAGAGCATACAAAATGACTACATTGTGTTCGTATTGTGATGGACAATTATAGTGTGATTGCGTGTGGGTGTTTGGCTCGCTGCTTTCTGCCAAGTGACAAGGAATTATAGATCCCAAAAAATACACGGTAGCACAATCCACGGGTTGCTAAAAAACATAGAAACAAAATAAATAGCTTGAAAGTTACAGTTTTCAAAACCTTGTAAAAACAACTTTAGACTATTTCATCTTTTGCTTTTGTTTTCTTAATAAAGCGACATGGTGGAACTTTCAGTCCTGGGGGGTTGGAGATCTATATCCTGCCTCTGCTCCTTGCGAGCCTGGTAGTTGCACGGTCTGTGTCCCGTGCATGGTGCACCCACCCCCACCCAAAGATACAGAAATATGTCTTTCTGTCATATGAACCTTGTTTTGTTTCAAGTTCTAATGAAATTAAGACAAAGTGCTCAGATTATTCTCCACAATTAAGAGTTCAAGCCTCAGCAAACATAGTGTCTGTGTCATAACTTCCTGTTTTTCCCCACTTGGATTTCCATAGTACACATCTTCAGAGAACAAAGTGCTCAGGCTTTCCACAAATGAGGCTTTCTTTGTTCTTGGCCAGACGTCTTTACTTAGGAAGGCTCATTATTTTCACTATGAAGCATGCTAGATGATGTCATACACTCAAAGGAAAAAGGGTAAAAATTTGTACCTTTGCTTGTCACCGGGGCTGTACCCTCAAGGGTCTGCCGATTGTAGCCTTAGCTGTAGGTAATTGTACCTTTTAAGGTACTGAAATGGACTCTGAGGAACATCCCAAAGATACAATTACAAGGGTACAGTCCCAGTGAAAATAGCAGTGGAAGGTACTGGATAGAGCAAAAATTCAGTGTCTAACTCAAATCAACAGTAAATAATGATTTTGACATATGACAAACAATATAATTATTTATCTGGGAGCGATCATTCATCACCTCCTTAAATGCAAAATTTCTGCCGTGCAGCGATCGTTTACCGTTTAGAGTAACAAACGCAAATGTGCGGTTTGTGACAAGGGGCTGGGAGCGTCAGGATAAGAACTCGAGCGCCCCCTGGTGTGGGTGCAGTAGCTGGTGCAGAGCGCGCCGATGCGTTTCTTTGTTAATGATAATGATATTACCGGCTTCCTGTCCCGCTCCTCCCCGCTTGGGCCTCTTTAAAAAATATATTCTGCTTCCTCGCTAATGAATTTAATATGAAGCTTGATTGAATAAAAAATCCAGATCTGAACACATGTGCACAGATATATAGCCATTGTTACTGGCCGTCAGATGGTGGTATATGCTGCACAGGCACTGGGGGTGGGGTAGATTTCTACGCCTTCCTAATGGCTCGGCTGCAGTCAGGGAGCAGACAGACGAGTGCGATAGTCAATAGACTGCAGATCTTTCTCAGAGTATTGGCGCTACTTTTGGCTATACGACTCAATAAGTACAACTAACTCACAATAAAAAAGTTTGTGGGATCAAATTGAAGGAGGCACATATAATCTGTAATCCTTCCGTCTGCCGTAAGTCGCTTTGGATAAAAGCACCAGATAAATGAATTAAATGTACTTTATAGGCTTGCTGTCTCCCCTGATTCATAGATTGATCCCCCTGGCAGGGAGAGTGTGATGTCGTTTGTTAAAACCCGTCAGACTGTTCAAACGTACTTTGGTGTGTAAAATTCAGACCCTCACAGGCTCTGAATGTAACGGTTCCTACACATTTATGTTCCAGTGCTTTCGTGGGTATGGTGAGTGGCTTGGTAGGTTAGGACACTGTGAGTGGAAGGTCGTTGGTTCAAATCCCAGAGTGGGCAGAATGATGTCACTGTTAGATCCCTGATCAAGGTCCTTAATCCCAAATTGTTCTAGTGCCTCTGCATTCACAAAACTGTATGTGGCTTTTCAGTCTCTGAGAAGTGAAAAAAATGTAAATGTTGCCATTCCTTCCCTGACCCTAATTCCAGAGGGTTCTCCTCACCCACAGATATGCATGTGAGTCCTTCTGTCCAGTACAAAGAGATGTTTTCTTGGACCCAGACCCGACCAAATGCCACTTGCATCAAAAATCTTTTACAATGACAACTTAATTCAATTAAACTATTGCACTGATGTTAGTTGTCTGTTTTTGGTCCTTCCAAAGGAACCACATTCATTTCCTCCTACATGCTGGAGTTTTAAAAAAATCACATTTGACTCGGACGGTAATTCGGTTATTAAATACTGTGTCTGCTGACGTGAAGCACAGTAAGGAAGGGGTTGCTTGAACAGGCATTCTGCAATCGCTGATACACAAATAAATAGTTAATAAGCAAAATAGAAGTATGGGGGACAGTGTGTGGCTCGGGGGGGAGCATATATTATGCTTGTGATCGGAAGGTCATGGGTTCAAATCCCACAGCCAGCAGAGTGATTTCACCATTCATCACCTGAGTCAGGCTATTAACTGTAATTCGTCCAGGAATTGTTGACTCCTGCTTTTTCTCAAAAATAAAAATTGATAAAAGTGTTTGCTGCATAAATTAAATGTAAGTAAACTGTCAGAAAAAAAGTATGAATTCGTACCTTTGAGGGTACAATTACTTGTCAATAAGACTGTACCCTTGAGTGTCTGCCAATTGTACCTTAGCTGTAGGTAAATGTACCTTTTCAGGTTCAGAAATTGACTCTCAGGAACTTTTTTTGTACCATTGGGGGTAACTTAATGTTATTAGTACCTTGGGGTACAAAACTGTACCAGGGATGAACCCTTTTTTTCTGACAGAAAAAGCGTTAGTTTTTACTCAGGGTTTTCCTTCATTCTCCCTTTCAAACCATCTCTCGATATTTCTGTCAAATCTGCGGCTTTGAAAAACAGGAAGGAGGACTTAAATGGCGTTTCTCGCTCACTTCCTACGCGCCCTGGACTTGGTCCTCCACGTGTTATCAGGAGATAGACTACAATAGGACACCAGATGTGAGACTAGACCTACCCACTCTCACAACCTCTGGACTGCAATGGAACGGGATAGGCCTAAATATCGGTTAGACATAAAAACAGGACATGCCATTCTTAAATCATGAATCCAAGGCAAAAGACTAAAACCTGCGTCTAAAAGGACAGAAAGAAAGTATGTCCTGGACCAAATCATGTTAAAAGACAATAATAAATGGTAAGTTAGAGATTCCTAGTCTGCAGAGTGTCTGTAAAATATCTCCCAGCATTTTATGGTTGCCTCCGAAGTATAGTATATTCTCCGAAGAATATTTTGACCAGATTTTAGTTTTTCCATTTCATTCTGCCGTACTGGAAAATGGTGCTTCCGTCTCGCCTTTTTGTCTGGAACTCCCATCTGTTCACCAAGTCCGGCTTTTAAAAAAACATCATTTTAGCTACTTCAGAGTAACTGCTAACGTTACACATTTCTGGTCGATGATTTTCTCCTTCGGCTCATGCCCACCTGATTCCCACCTGATACCCACCTGTTGCAAATCTCCTCGCCCCTGACGTGGCCAGGCAGCTGGGCGGGGGCGGGGGGGGGCTGGGGTGGGGCGTGGATCCTAGAACTCCCAGCCTCGTTCTGGACGCCTGGCACAGGAGCCTCCAATTGCGGTGTTTTTCCACTTCAGGGGAACGGCGGCGATAAATCGCAGCGCTCAGCCCAGAGCTGAACACATTCCCAGCTGTCAACATGGATTTCAGACGAGCTTGCCTCTTCCTCTGTGTCCTCATCCTCATCCACGGCTCGCTCCAACAGAGCCCCCCTAAGAAGAAACCGCTCAAAAAAGGTAGGAGACACCCTCTCCGCAGGAGGTCATTAGGGACGCTGACATGATACCTGATAAGGAGATAATCAGTCTTCAATGCAGGCTTTTCAGCAGTCAGAAAACTATACAAACATCTGGCCAGTATGAAACAAGTGTTTTAACCAATAGGTATTGATTCAGAATGACCAAACCGTAGAAGTTCTTGAAACAGTTATTTAAATTGAAATCAATTAGCGTTCGCTTTAATTCGAAAAGTCTGATTGCACTTGAGTTTTGGCGAAAACTTTCATTTGTTGCAAAAGGAGGAGTAAAAATGTACTTCGTCAGTTTACATCAAGAGGAGGTGCCACTGTGTCTCAGGAGGAGTTCAGGAGAGAGCTGAGTGCCCACTAAGATCACGCTCGGACACGGACCACCCTCTCATGCACATCCGTCATTCTCCGTGTCCCTGATCTCCAGATGCGGTCAGCTTCAGCGCCATCCAGGACCTCCAGAAGCAGATTGACGATATCGCGCAGGACCTCATATTGCTGAAGGAGCAGCAGGCGCTCCAGACAGGTTTGCATCCCTCTCGGGAGGTTGTGGGATCGGGACTGAACTCACAGTGATGCAGATTTGTGTCTCCAACGTGCACAGAACAGGCGTGTCCTTCTAAAAGAATCTGAAAGTTATTTTCCACGTGGTGTTTATTGTAGACCTTAAAACTCATCCACAGATGGGCCTGCACCATCTGAAGGTGTTGCCTATAGTAACAGTGGTAATGCGAGTTCCATCCTCCGCACATGGAAGCCATCTGCGGCTTTAATGTGAGAAGGTCATCGCCACACAGACGGGTTTGTTTTGGTCTGGCGAGCCTCATGGGGGTGGCGCCCCGCCACACCAGCCCAGGAAAAATGACGTATGCCTTTACCACCACTTTTCCTTAAAGTTTCTGAGGTATTGCTCCACAAAATTGAGGCTGCTGATCCACAAACAAACATTAAGTGACACTTTCAGGAATTGATGCAGACAGGTTCTGTTACTACAGGCAGTCGCTGGGTTATGAACGAGATCCGTTCCGAAGTCTGTCTTTAAGTAAAATTTGTAGGTAAGTCGTTTGAGGTGATCCAACTTAAAATGGCTGAGGGCGTTCTCCTTTCAGCTGACGAATCGCTGAAGCTGTGCAATATTTTCTTGAGCGTCACAAAGCAGTACACACATTTGTTATTATGAACCATTGTATTTAACTCAAAATTTTTATATAATATGCTTTATGGTACTCCTTTCTTAAGTTTGAGGTGTCCGTAAGTTGGACGTTCTTAACCCAGGGACTTAGGGTAGCCAGAATCAAAAATCTTTTGGAGCTTTTATGAAAGAGGAGATCTGCATTAAAGTCTCTTCTGTGACGATCATTCAGCAGAAGAGTTCAAGTATCTTGGGGTCTTTTTCATAAGTAAGGAAAGAACAGAGTGGGAGATCGACAGGAGATTCGGGGCAGCACATTGTACCGTTCTGTAGTCGTGAAGAGAGAGCAGATCTGGAAGGCGAAGCCCTCGATTTACCGGTTGATCTACGTTCTTGCCCTGACCTATGGTCACGAGTGCTGGGTAGCGAACAAAAGGATGAGATCGCAGATATAAGTGGTGGAAATGAGCAGACCGACACAGACTCAGCCTTAGAGATAGGGTGAAGAACTCAGACATTTGGGAGGAGTTCAGCTGTCACTCCCTCACGGCGAGAGGAGCCAGTTGAGGAGGTTTGGGCATCTAGGATGACATCTGGATGCCTCACTGGGGAGGTCCTCTGGGCATTTCTAACCAGGAGGAGATCCCAGGGCAGACCCAGGACACGTTGGAGAGATTATATCTCTCGGCTGGCCTGGAAACACCTTGGCATCCCCCTAGAACTGGAAGAGGTGACTGGAGAGAGGGAGGTCTGGGTATCCCTGCTTACACTGCTGCCCCCGCGACCCGACCCTGGATAAGCGGCAGACAGGGGACCCATTGGGGCACCCAACCTAGACCAGTCCAATTATCTTCCAGTTTTTTGGGGTACCTTGGAATCGTCCTAACCCTAACCCCCTTTACAGCACCCCTGAGTATAACTGCCAGATTTGCCCTACACAATGAAAATAATTTAATTTACGGCATTTCAACAATATAATCTATTATACTTTAAAAGTTGTTTGCAAACTGTTGGTTTTCAAAGGTTCCTTTGTTTTCAGTCTGTCTGAAAGGATTTAAGATCCATGGTAAATGCTTCCTGGTGGATTCTTTAAAGAAGCGCTACCACACAGCGAATGAGGACTGCATGGACAAGGGGGGCACCCTGAGCACCCCCCTGACCCGCCAAGAGGACGAGCAGCTATACGACTACGTGCGCTCCACCCTCGGCCCCGACGCGCAGGTCTGGCTGGGCGTCAATGACGTGACGACGGAGGGCATGTGGATCGACCACACAGGCTCTGCCGTGCGCTACAAGAACTGGGAGTCCGGGCTCAACTCTCAGCCGGACGGAAACCGCGCCCAAAACTGCGCCGTGCTTTCGGTGGGCGCTGGCGGAAAGTGGTTCGACGAGAACTGCCGAGACGAGAGATCCTCCGTCTGCGAGTTTAACATCGTGTGAGGGCCTCGAGGCCTATGACGTCAGACGTCCCTTTATCGCGGTATAGCTTAATTATCAGCGCTGTCTGCAATCACGCTTTCACTTTCTCTCTCACTTATGCTTTACGAGAACAGAATTTGAAATGGTTGAGCTTTAAGGAAAACTGGCTTCAAGTGATGCGTGTAATTTGTCATGGTATTAACTGGAAGCAGAAGAAATCAGTTTTTTGTCAATTGACACTGATGCAAAATAAAGGAGAAGAAATACAAAAGCTGATTAATCAAAAGTAATTCTGGCGTTAGTAATTTTTGTGCAGATATAATGGATATCTGAGACTTATACGTCTAGATTTCCTCACTGCAATTTATGCTTCCATATAACACTGATAATACAATCATTACTTTGCACAGCTGTTCGTCATATATATTTTATATAGTAAATGTCCAACATTTGTTGGTGAAAACTGTAACTCAGTAGCCCAATAAAGCTCCATTTAAAAAGAAATTTATTCATTTAATACTTTTTGTATGAAATCACCCTCGGCCCCATGCACAGTCTGAAAAGACGTCTTTGCTCCAAGTCCACATTAAGTTCAGCACCAGATAAACAACAGGCTTATATATTTTACAAAATATTACAGCTCGGGGTCAGTGTTTAAGTGTTACATTTGGTTCTATTTCCGATATTGTACGAGCGGAAATGAATGAAAAATCATATGTAAAAACACAAATGATATTTGCATCGTTAGAAATATGATCTTTTCACTTTTCACGACCTTTTAATAAATACACACAAAACAATTTCACACCATAAAAGAACAACCTATGCAATTAAACTATTTCCAAATGAGCAGTATCAATTATCAAAAAGGATCGTCATTCATAATTAAAAAAAAAAACAAAAAAACTTTTCAACCTTTATCGGTTTTATGAGGTATCTTTTAGAATTTTTCTGTGAAGGATAAAATTGATGCTGTAATTGTTTTGTAGGTATGTTGGCTGAAGGTGACGACTTCCATGTTCCAGGCACGCAATCACACAATATGAAGAATTCATGTTTAAATCAGTGACTCCAAGCATTCACAGTAAATCCGCGTTACTCAAAAAATGTAAAAAATATATTAAATCTAGCCAATACTTGAAACTTAAAACACACTGGCCCTGTAAAGAGTCTACTATGTGATGAAGGAGTTTTAAAAATTGAACGGCCTTTTAAAATCACAAGCATAAACTTTTGACCACTAAGAAATCGAGGCAAAAAAAATAAAAAATGAAATTGCAATTGCAGCCTGCCAATCAGCAAGCACCGGCCATCATGAAGTCATTTAAGCCCCATCCTGTTCCACCGCTGGAATTCTGCACAGAAATGAGAACATTATTTTTCATCCAAGAACTAATTATTACTGGTAAAAACACTCTTCTTGCCAGAGTCTTACAGCTTCTCTCACAGGAAGATTCTTCTCCACCCACAAAATTAGCAGGTGACTGAAGAAAGAGCAGGGAAATGGAATGAAACATCAGTCAAACACATAGAAATAAAAAAATGCAATTGTGCACAGACAAAGACCTACTCCTCATTAAATCACACATTTGAAACATCTAAAATAAAATTTCAATGAAATAAAGGAAAAGCAGGAGTTACAGGTTTACACATCTTGGCGATGCAGGGGAGTTTAACAGCCCAGGCTCAATCCAAGCTACCGAAGATGTCCACTGAATAAATAATGGTGGCATCCAACCACCATTATGAAGATAAACGCGTAACTGGGGAACCAGGCACTGTCCCAGAGTCATCAATCTCCTGTAACAGTGAGCCACGATGGACCCGGCACACCACACGCAATCCTCTGAAATCCTCTACGATTCGTTAAAACGTTTTGAAATTAAGATGAGAGCAAAGGCAAAAGAAAAAGTACCCTGAGGGTAAAATAAGAGCTGCAAGGGTCATGACGGGCTTTTCCTGAGAACACGTCTAGGCCCACTATTTAAGTCCAGTTTCCTGGTTCCCCTAAGAGGATGGTAGCGCATAAGAACCTTAAATCAGCAGAATGCAGGCATATAAAATGCTCACTTGGCATGAAAGCATGGGAATGAAACCGGCCGACATCGATGGGTCGCGATGGTACCATGATCACCTAGTCGAATTCCGCCCCAGAGTCAGTCTCCTCCTCCTCGTATGCCTCTGGCTCTCGTTCTAGCTCCATGAGTGAGCAGGAGAACGGACCCATGTCTCCGTCGCTCTTGAAGGTGTTTAACTCGTTGTCCATCATGCGGGGGTCAGTGTAGGCCAAGCTGTCCTGCCGTAGGATGGGCGTGCGCGGTCGGCCTGGCTTGGCAGCCTGCGATGGATCCAGGAACGGCTGAAAGGTCTCCATCGCAGGCTCAGGGCTCTGACTGGAGCTGGGCTGTGCTGGCAGATTGTGGTAAGAACCCTTCATGGAGTCAAACATATGGGAATCATTGACGTCGTGGCCGCCGTGGAACACAGTGCCTGGAGTGAACATGTTCCCATTGGGGTTGTTGATGGACTTTTTCTTCCTCCTGCCAGAGAGAACACACCTCACGTCATACCTTGTGGGCGGAGTCAGGGCTGGAGGAAAGGGGGCGGGGTCAGGAGTAAACACGCACGCACGCTCACCTCTTCATCACGCAGACCGCGACCACCACCAAGACCGACAGCAGCAGCACGGCTCCCACCACCGACAGGATGATGGTGAGATCCAGGGCTGTCAAAAAATATAGTTTAGTTCGAGTCCCACCCCACCCAACAATAAACAGCACAGTCTTGTTAGCCAGGACTGTAGTGAGAAAATGAAGAGGGCGTGTGAAACTTAACACATCGTAAAATAGCACATCGTAACTACGGCTGTGGGTGCTGCTGTACATGCTCTCTGCACTATGCATGTTCTGAACTCCCATGCTCTCTGCCTCCCCACATGTCTGGGTGGTGCC